ATACATGCCATTCCCTACCTCAACAGACTTTCCTCCTAACAAAGATTCATAGGCAAGAAGCTCAAGAGACGCCTCGAGGACCTCGAGAGACGCGCAGGACAGGAAGGCCCGACCGTCACCACTGAGAAGCAGACGCAGCCAAAGAGTGCTAAGCGTCAGTCGCAATCCTCCACCAAGACGCAAAAGACGCCGGTTCCAACCAAGACCATGAATCAGGGCCAATTTACCCCCCCAATGCACACCGATGACGAGCTTCTCTTCGCGCAAACTTACGAAGACGGTCGTGAAAGATCAAACACTCCTCCTCTTTTCGCCTATTCGACTTACCCTCCCCCTGAAGAGATGCTCCTTGCTCCTTCGTACACAACTCAGCCTTACCCCATGACAACTGCAGAGGTCTACCCTAGTTACCTGGCCGCAGCGGTGCCGGTAACGCTACCCCCAATGAACCATTTCAACGATGCCATCAAGCGCGAATCCTACTCCAGCGACGATGGCCTCTCCCCCTACGTGAACTACGGCTATATTTCCGGCGTCGACATGAACGCAACTGGCTCCTACGACCCCTCGAACCCTCATGTGAGTTATATGCGGCATCTGCCTCCCCGCGATCCACAGTGCTGATGGGTTGATGAGCAGACTCCTCCGCTCTCTCACTCTTTCGACCACTCGGCCAACTGTTCTGACGCTGGCTACGAGTACCCTACTACACCTTTGTCCATGCCAGGATCTCCAGGCATGATTCAACAATAAAATGGCCCCTGGCGGAGGGTGTAAGCGAGAAAAGGAGAAGAAGGGAAAAAAAAAAAGAAAAAAAAGAAAAAAAAAAACAAGTTGCAGCGGGACGCGACTCATCTTTCGATAAATCCCGCCGAGCGAGCTATATTGGAATTTACTTGACATATGCAGGGTGGCTTTGGCCAGGAGTTCGGGAGCATTTAGGGTTGCATGCAATGGTCGAAGCGCTCGACCATACGCGGAGATGACGACTGGGAACGGGCGGCGGCGTTTCAATTTGGCTAGGTACTTCGTTGTGTTGTGGACAGTTTAGAAACTTCAACGACAATCCAAACAAGAAAGATTGTCACAAGAGTCAGCATGTCCAACAAAATTTACCAAGTTACAGTCAACCAATATCCCCTCCCCCCCTTACTACGTGATGATCAACGCCTGCTCAAGCGCGCGTGTTTGTGTGCCCGGACAGCCTTAGGCCCTCTGCTTTGGCGTGGGTAGCGAGATGGATGAAGATTTACAATGGAAGGGCGTCAAAGACAAGGACGTCCCCTCCCCACAGAAGGTAATGTTTCCATGTTCGTCCGGGGCGATCCCACCGGAGTTAATCCACAAATGTCTCGCCGTAGTCTCGCCCGGAATAAGGATTTCCAAAGTCCATGCTGCTTAACTCCTAGGCCGACACCATTCCAGGGCACCTGAGCCACCACATTGGCTGACAAAGCACGCCGCGCAAAGAAACAGACGGCGCTGGGTGCTTGCACCGGGCAAAGCGACCACTTCGCGCCGTCTCTGAAGGTTACACAGGCATTGAAACAAAATGCTTCCCACTCACACTTCATGACAGACTTGCTGCCGCAACTTGGGCCCCTGTACAGACCACAGGCGAGGCCATGAAGGCTTGGCTTGGCGCGTCACTGAGGAGACCGTACCCGGCTCTGCCCCTTTCTGCTTCCCCTCAATTTGTACCTTTTCCCCTCGGAGACACCAGCACTTTTTGTTCACAGCCTTGGCTTTGCTTGGAATGACAAGGCCTCAGCATGCGAGGGGTCTGTATGGAGCGTCGGCTTTCTTCTGCTCGGATAGAGACGAACAGCGCAACAGCATGGGTAACGGCACAACAGGTGATGAATATAGTTTCAGCTTCGAAGGCTTGATGGAGGGAAAGTACATGCTGGGTGATGGGTGGGATGGGATGGGCACGGCTGGTCTCATGGGTGGAGAGCGCCGGGTGCGGCACACTAGCTCTATGTTCAGTGACCACTTCAGTCATGCCTGGGCGCAAACAAGTTGGGGTACGAGATATTGAGTTGACCATGAGACGAAATGATGGATGCTCATGACTTTGAATGGCCAGAAACCCGTACACATGAAAAAAAAAAAAACATATGGCGCGGAGGGATGAGTCTCCCGGGATATGACCATGCTGCTTGATATTCGGCATCGACATACGGATACTGCCTCTGCCTCGTCCGTGCAGACCCGGTTGTCGTACAGGTTACGTGCCGCATTTTTGGTCCAGCACTTAGGGTTGCAGGCGGGCACAGTCGGGCGTCCTCGTCAAGAAGGCTGGCGGGCTCGCCCTCTGCGACTCTCGAGGTTCAACTGTAGCTTGCAGGGTTGATTAACAAATGACATGATGTGATGGGGCACTCGGCTGCGCGGTCCTTTCGTTCGGTAAAGTCATGGGCATCCATGTACGACGAGGCGATGGAGATGTGCGCTTCAGGTAATAGCCAGCACACTACACATATGCATACACACATTCCTCTCGGCCCCTTTCTCCCGGTCTACCTTCGTTCAACCTATGTGCGTGCATACGAGGCAGCAATATTTGCAGCTACAAGTCGCTTGTCAACCCTGGCTGCACCCACATCTGCGTCTGCTGCTCAATCAGGCGAGGATACCATCGTTACACAAGATTTCTTCCTCCTCCTGTCCCAGCGGCTTCTGTCAGTTGTATGCTGGCCTGGGTTGCAAGCCCGACTTCGACGTAACACAAGGAGGGTTCCCTGTCGGCCGTCGATTGACAGACGTTAGGAAACTCGCCGGAAAGTCACCGGGGGCGCCAGTTAGCATAGGACACAGACACGTTACAAATGGACGCCACGGGGCACTTGGCTAGGGAGGGTGAGGTGGAGGATATACGCCGTAACATTGGATGGGACAGGGGGAGGGCACCAGTAGGAACTTTGGACCTTAGGCGGGTACCTCGGTAGGTTACTTACCCCGTAGGTAGACGGATAATTAGGAGGGGGGCCACGGAGAAAACGGGGGCGTGCTTCCTGGAAGGCTGAGAGGGACCTAGGCTCCGGCTGTTGCCGGAGTTAAGAATACCCAGTCAGTGGCGGCTTCAGTGGCTATACAACTCGAACTCATTCTCATCGTCACCATCTCAAGAAGTCAAGAGGTCTGCATCAGTATCTTCTGCTCCTTGCTGCCTGGCTCGGTTCGGAGGGCGGGAGGACCATGCTGGTCGGTCTTAACCGTCACATCACCGGCGCTAAAGCAGAGTATTCAATCCAGAGTACCCTTTACGTATGACAAGTACTTTGCGAAGCTGTGTTTGATGCCTCGTGCTTTTATCTTGTTGACTGGATCGAGGCTACCTGTGTTTGGTTGTTATCGTCCGGTGTAGACAGTGCAAGGATCAAAAACGCACCAGAGCTGCATGCGGGCAATGGAACCTGTGAGGGCTCTTAATTCGTGTCGCGGCCACCAGCAATGCCTCATGGTCGATGCTGGTTCATCCCGTCCATCCTATCTCGTTTCTCACAACATAACCCGGCTGTTCGCAAGCCTACTGAGGTTTTAAGTTTCTGATGCTAATTCCATCTTTGAGCAAGACCGGAGCCGATGCGGCAATGCTTGGCAAAGACGCTGGACCGGCCTACCGAGACGCACGCCCGCCCCCATTAAACTCGACTTCACGCGCTAAAACACATCGCGCAGGTCCCCTAGGTATTCTTCCAGCGCACTTACCTACGCACTACGACTTTATACCCGCCGTGATGGATCTTCCCAGCTGCGGTGCCTGAGGTCCGCCTGACATCCGTCACCTTGCGCCACAAGCGATCAGTCATCATAGCGTCGGGCTGGACAGGAAAGAGGATTCGCTACCTGTTTACGAGTCGACATCGTTGGTTAAACTATGTCCTGGTGTCCTTACCCAACTGAACAATGATACGCGCTTTTGCCTCACCAAGCCTCCGGCTCTGTTCCGAAATAGAAAGACTAGAATAATGCAACCTGCAACGCACCACTCCGTACCGCATTTCCTGCTACCCACACGTACTTGTTATGCTTCCTGCGTCAAGATCCTCCTTCGTAGTCAAGATCGGGCACACTGGATAATGCTCGTCCACAAGCACCTCGCTTTGCGTTGTGTCGTGTCTCCTTTGTGTCCAAGACGACCATTAGCCGTTGTGGATCTGTTCCGGCCGGGATGTCCAAGAGTACCAAGGTATTGCCGTACAAGATTAGCTCGTGATGTTTACGTAGGAGGTTGTATGTTATCTGCGCCTTTGCGCGGCCTCCCTCAACAAGGACCACAACGACTCAAGAGTCACATTCTCAGACATTGCCATGACACAGGTAGATCGGCGCCTAATGCGAGCCACTTGTCAAAAGTCAAAAGTCAAAATTCCTTTCCTTCCACATTAGCCCTTTGGCATACTGGAGGTGGAGGTACGCAAAGAAGTGACGACTTTCGATCTGGGGAAGCTTCAACACCATTTCGGTGGGAACTAAAATGCTTCGACACTCGGCCACGAAGTCACGACAAGGTTTTTTTGCACTCATTATCTCACCGTTTGCGCGCCCGGCTGGGGAATATAGCCTGGTCGATCACTTGGTGTTTCAATAAGTTGTGGTCTGCACATTGCCTTAGGTAATCCCGACACTGTGCCACATGCAAACCAGCTTCGACAGAGTACCTGCACTTACCTTTCTTGGTTGGTGATGAAATTAGCCCGGGCTCCACTTGGCTTACGTTTTCCCGCCATCTGCAAGCAAGCTTGCAAGCTTCCCGCGAAACATCTTCAATCCCTTAAAGAACTGTTTGGATTTACGTCGAGGCATAGGTGATTGGATGCGGCCCAGGAAGCAACCCTACTTCCCAATCACCCCCGCCGAACCGCGGACACTCCAAAACGCCCAGACACTTTCTTGCCATTCGCCGTTCTTGCAGCCCGCCGAATAGAATCCGCACATTCTTTCCATTTACCAGCCGAACAACCGCCGGCTCTACGCAGTTCAGAACGACCGCAATGGCACCGGACTGGAAATTGCTATACCTCTATGGAGGCGACAGGTTGGTTTTCTGGCCCAGATTCGGTGCGGGGACCATTGCGTTGAGAAACCCGCACCGCTCCCTTACCCCTTCTCATGATTCACTCATCTCTTGAAATAGCGGAACACATGAGACATCTGATTGACCAATATTATTAGTCCCTGGGATTCCAGTCTCTGGACTGATTCTGATGACCGAGTCCGCGGCGGAAAGAGCCAGTCTCACATGCACTGCGAATCGCCGGAGAAAGCTCGGTTTTTTGGTCACCTAGACATCACCACCCTCGGAGCAGCTGGATTCGCGTCTCAGAGGACTCTTGGTACACTCCATCTGGATTTGAGGCAGTATGATGGTTTCGTCATCAGAATCCTTGAGAGCGACTCCAAAAAGTACACTCTTACTGTCAAAGACGAGATTCTGCCTCCCAGGGACGATGGCCGCGATCAGAGCACAATCAGCTGGGAGTACGACTTCGTCTGTGATACTGGCGACGTGAAAATCCTCTGGAGCGACTTCAAACCCACATACAGGGGCAAACCCAAGCTTGACGCCAAGCCGCTGGACTTATCCAGTATTAAGAGAATCAGTTTCATGATGCGAAGGTATTGCAATACCCATCATTTTATCGCCTCATTTTCGCTGATAAAGTGTCAGCTTTTTTGGAGAGCAGGAGGGAGATTTCACCCTGACTGTTGCACATCTCGCCGCCGTTAGCGACAGACCCACGTCACCAGGATCAGAGCTATCATTCGAAAAGGACCATGCCGCCGTGCGTGCTGCTGCGCGTCCTCCCGGGGCCCAATCGTCGTGGCTTAGCTGGATTTGTGGATGGGGTAAATGACCTCCGGTGATCATAGACTCACTGTCCGGCGCCAGCCATGCTTCATGGAGTATACAATCACAATTCGTGGTGCATTCGTTTATGTACTTGACGGCATTTTTTTTTACAGCGCTATGGATGTCCATCTTTCTGTTTTAAAAGCTACCTTGATGAGCGCTTCATACAATCTGACCTATAACCTTGATCAAATCGCCTGTCACACCCATAGCCGTCACATCACCACCAGCGCCGGCACCCTGGATAATTAGTGGGTTGCTACCATACCTCTCCGTGTAAAAGCTGATGATGTTGTCGCTGCCCTTAAGCGCGGCTATGGGATGAGATGCGTCGAACTGCTCCAGACCAACCTTGACCTGCTTGGAAGCAACGTCAATGCTGCCTACGAAGCGCACAACCTTGCCTTGGCTCTCTGCGGCTGCCTTGGTCTCCTCCATCTGACTGTCAAATGCTGGAAGCTTCTGCAAGAACTCGTCACCGCTCGAGCAAGACTCGAGTTCCTTGGGGATCAGACTCTCGACGGGGAATGAAGTCGGTGATTCCACTGGCAGTCCAGCCAGTCTTGCAAGAATGGTGAGCTTCCGGGCGACATCGAGTCCATTAAGATCGTCTCTCGGATCCGGCTCCGTGTAGCCTAGCTGCTTCGCCTTGGCCACCTCGGCGGACCACTTGCCCCCGGAGCCTGATACAGGAGCAAAAGAGTTGAACAGGAAGGACATGGTGCCGCTGAAGACGCCCTCAATCTTCGTAACACGGTCACCAGTCTCCACCAGATCTTTCAGAGTCGAGATGACGGGCAGGCCCGCACCGACAGATGACTCGTGGTAGACTTTGGCGCCAGATGTCGACGCTGCGGAGAAAATATCTTGCCATAGCTTGTAGGAGCCCGAGAACGCCTTCTTGTTGGGGGTGACAACGCTGATGCCACGGCCAAGGAAGACCGGGTAGGCATCGGCGACATCTTGGGAACTGGTGTTGTCGACAAGGACGACCTTGGCGGGAGCGGCAGCAAGATACTCAGCGAGCTGGGAAAGAGGGGGCGGAGCCTGCGAAGCGGCGGAGAGTTTCTCGGTGACGCCAGTGATGGAGATGGCAGAGTAGCTGTGGTCGTATAGAGCCTTTTTGCTGGTTGAAATATAGCATAGGCTGAGCTTTGGGGAGGGTCGTCTCGCAGCTAGCGCCTCGAGTTGGGAGAGGAAGCACTTTCCAACCCCGCCAGCGCCTATATTGCATGCCACGAAACGTTTAGATGATGTTCTTTTCCGTGGTGGTGTGAAGGGATGCTCGTACCGATAATGGCAATGAATATCTGCTTGGGAGAAGACATTGCTGTATTTCAAGGACTAATCAGTTATTTAGACGCGATGTGAGCTGGGCCGTTTGCCTGTGGTTTCAGTGTTGAGTGCAACAGAGGGGTTTAGGAGGAGGGCAGGATGATTAATTTCTCTGCACCTCCGACCGCGGGGCACCAGTGGGGCACCCAACATGGGGCTTCTCGGGGTACTCTATCTTATCACTCGGTGAGTATCTGCACCGAAAGTCCTGCATCGGCAACCGGACGCCTGTGCATTCCAGCATCGGAGCTTGGGCCGTTCTCGTCCCGGCCCTGTCCAGGTCATGTCGTCATTCAATAAGGTAGCATCCCATCCCCCGGCCGTACGCATCTCTACAAATATGCACGGCTGATACAAGAATGCCCCCAACGTCGCTGCTGTCGACAATTGAGTGAGTGATCCATCGTTTTCCCCACGACATCCTGGCTCTCTCAGGATTATTTCCACTGAAGAACGGTAGTCGCCATGACTCTACTACAATCGCTTCTCCATCTCACCAACTTCAAAAATCCCTTGCTACGGACTTTAGTTCCCTCAGTCTCCGCCGCATACGCGATTCAATTTGCTTTCGCGATCCCCTCCATTCTCGCACAGAATGAACGCTTTTATGACTTTTCCGGCTCCCTGACGTTTCTGTCCGTAACTGCTCTCAGCCTGTATCTGCCCTCCTTGCGCACCACATTCTCGTCTACGGCAGCCAACGTGTCTACTCCGTTGCCGAGTCTTCTCGCTCCGTTCACCAGCCCTGGTAGACTCGGAGCTCTGAACTGGCGACAAGTTGCTCTGAGCGGTGCCGTTGTGTTTTGGGCTGTACGACGTAAGTTTACACACATCTTCTGTGGCCTAACGTGAGGTTTTTAAATCTGACCGCGGCATCTGTAGTGGGATCATACCTGTTCCAACGTATTCTGCAAGACGGCCACGACTCTCGCTTCGATGAAATCAAGAAATCTCCCGCAAAATTTGCGGGTGCTTTCTTTGCTCAAGCCACCTGGGTCTCCTTGTGCCTACTTCCTGTCATAGCTCTTAACTCCGTTCCCGCAGCTTCGTTCGCTGCGTTGCCACCCGTCAAGATATCTGATATCGCCGGCATTCTCGTCTACGTTGCCGGGTTCGCGTTCGAAATCACAGCTGACCGGCAGAAGAGTAAGTGGATGCGAGAAAAGAAGGAAAAGCTGCATGACGAGCAGTTCATGACCCGCGGCCTTTGGACTGTTAGGTACGTTTTGAACTGCGCCATTAGCATTGCCATCTCTGCTCCCATAGGGAAGGCACCAGTTGGAAAGCGAAATACGGCATGGCTAACACAGCATCAGCCAATATCCGAATTATTTTGGAGAAATTTCTCTCTGGACTGGCATTGCAACTGCCGCCGCCGGGATTATCGTATCGAAGCCTGTCCAAGCCAGTCTAGGCCTTTACGGCGGCATTGCTGGGCCTCTACTAGCAACTGCAATGTCGTTTGCAAGTCCAGCATTCGTCGCCCTGCTCCTGACAAAGGTTTCGGGCATCCCTCTGAGCGAGAAGAAATACGACAAACGTTATGGAGACCGCAAGGACTACCAGGAATGGAAGAAGAACACTCCGAAGCTGATTCCCAAGATATTCTAGCCCGGGATACTACTATGTTGAGAAATTGGTACCACAAATTGAAGATTATTTCTTTTCAATATCGGAGTTTTCAATATGACCAATGCATACTCTGGTCCGGAATGGACTAACCTGCCTAGATGAGGTAGTTTACGATCGCCCCAGCCAACCCTCTTTTCCTCTCTGCCCACTGCGCGTCCACCCACACAACCAATCTGGTGCCCAAAGCGCCTCCAACGGGAATCAATCATCAGTCAAAAAGAAGAAGAAAATGTCATTTCGCATCCATTAAATGTCATGAGAATCGGTGTCGTTGGCTGGGATGAGACAAATGCGAGTTCCAATCAGTTACTGGTGGAACTTCTTCACCTTCTCAACCTCATCAAAGCTGCCCATGAAGATACCGGCTCGGTCATGAATGTGTTCAGGCACGACTTCGAGCATTCTCCTCATCTTACTGTCGACCGCTTGACCACCGGCTGCGAGAATGTTTAGGAGTGAAACTGGGCAGGGTATAGAGATACTCAAACTTACCATTCTCAAATACCAATGCCATTGGTGCGCATTCGTAGAGAATACGAAGTTTGCCTTTAGGGCTCTTCTTGTCGGCCGGGTAAGCAAATACGCCTCCGTAGAGCAGAGTACGGTAGGCATCAGCCACCATAGAGCCGATGTACCGAGCGCTGTACGGTTTACCGTTTTCTTGGGGTGTCTTCAATGAGTTGAAGTAGTTGTTTGTGCCATCCTCCCAGTATAGCGAGTTACCCTCATTCACCGAGTAGATGGCGCGGGACTTGGGCAGTCTCATGTCGGGATGGGTAAGGATGAATTCGCCGACACCGTTGTCGAGCGTGAAACCATTCACGGTGCCGCCCCTCATAGTAATGACGAGTTGAGCCGACGCGCCGTACATGGTGAAGCCGGCAGCCAGGAGCTCAGTGCCAGGCTTCAGAATGTCTTCCTTGGTGCCAGTTGAACCCTCTTGTAATTTGTGGATACCAAAAATGGTGCCAACGGACACACCGGCATCCAGGTTGGAGGAGCCGTCAATGGGATCGCATGCGACGGCATAACGGGCGCCCGTACTGTCGTTGAAGAAGATAACGTCCTCCTCCTCCTCTGAGACCAGTAGAGCGCACTTGCCGGACGATCTCATCGCCTCAATGAAGAGATCGTTTGAGATGACATCAAGCTTCTTTTGATCGTCACCAGTGGTGTTGGAAGAACCGGCCAGACCAGTCAGGTTAACTAGGGTAGCTCGACGGATGTAGTAGGCAATCGACTTGAAGGAAAACTGCAGGGCATGGCATAGAAGTCTATGCGCATGGTTAGAAAACAAACGTAGCGGAGCAAGTGGGAGTTGAAGGCCTACGTGAAATCTCCGGTGGCTTCCTTATGTTTGGCTTGTTCTTCGGTGAGGAAGCGAGTCAGCGTAACAATGTTGGTGTTGATCTTTTCGGTTTCTTGGCCGCCGCCGTTCGTTGTGTAGGCCGACATGATGGGTTAGATGGCTGTGCCTGGACGCGTCAGTTCTTTGGTCAAGGTTGTGAGCTTCCGGGAGTTGACATGAAGAAAAGATAGAAAGGAGAGAAGTGCTTTCTAGTGGTAATTGAGGCTTGTGAAGGTGGTGGTCCACGGCGGACATTACAAAGAACGACGAGCGCACGGTATAGAGGGGTCGGGTTTAAGCCGAAGGACAATACGTACGTTAAAGTATGGCGAGTGCGATGCGGGAAGAGAGTGTGGTACAGGAGGGGAGACGTCAGAACGCAGATGAAGGTGACGAAATAGAGGAGATGCGAAAGGAAAAATAAGGTGGCAATTGGAGGAAATGGACCGTGTTTGTAAGTCCGGGTCTGGAACAAAACATCAGACAGCGTTGCCGGAAGCTCTCGTCTTCAGAGCTCAGTGCCCCTCAATTCGGCATACGGCTATCGCAGGGCTACGGTGCTACGTCCTATTATCGCGTACGATCCCGAGTCACCACGACGAAGTGGGGCCTACCGCAAGCACCACCGGCCGAGGGGAACCCGAGACATGGGGACGAAGGCGCTAATGGTACGGGACGCGAGGCGCCTCAGAGGATTTCTCGGAAACCCTCGGCGCGGTATGCAGCGAGAAGCACCCTCGTTTCTCACTACTATTTCTCGTGGACTACGTAAGTGAGTAGTCTGTCGGTAGGTTGGTTGGTTGGTTCTTTTCCGTCCCATAGTAGTAGGTAGGGAGTACTTTTGGGTGGCGGGAAAAGAAACGCTAAGGGTGGCAGGGCTGTCCATGGCTACGACGAGGACGTGTTGAAGTGCCTGTAGCTTGGTTTAGGTCAATACTTTTGGCATCTGACAATACCGCTCTGTTTCTATTCTTTCCATCGAGAGTGATGGAACCCACCGCGGTCCTTGATTCTCCCGCTCTGTACGAAGTCCGGTGGACCGGACTATGGAAGCATGAGGCACTATGACAAGAAGGTCCCATCCGGACCTGTGCGGAATGCTGACAAAGGCCAGTAATTGCTCTGTATGTAATTGTAATTGTAATTCCTACTTCCGTATTGGAGGTGGAGCTTGAGGTCTCTGAGCAGTAGTCACGACATACACAAGAGTTAGGACCAACAAACCTTTGACTTGTTGACGCCTGAGGCGCAAGCGATTCCTCATCTGCCGGCCTCTTTGGGTTTATGCCAACTCCCCCAGCTTTAACCCCACAACTGACCAAGACCACGCTCACTGGTCCACCGCGCAGCGCCTGCAGGGCCGCAGATGCCGAGCCAGCGAGCTTAGATAAGCCCCTATTTTGCGCTCACGTGCCCCCCCGCCTGAGCGTGCTCAAGGTCATGGACATGGTGCCCTTACGTGCTTCATACAGTAGCCCGCGGCAAAAACCCCCCGTCTCGGCCGCGTTGTGCTGGGAGTCTTCGCTGATGTCTCGGTTTCGCTGGCGGACCTCGGCATGTGGCAGCTGCACTAGCAGCCAGTCGATCTGCCCAGTTTACTATCCGTGCCCATCCCCCGTGCTTCGGCCAGAATCTCGACGCTTCCCATCGCCAACAACAATTTTCGTGACTTAAGCAGTTGCCTCCATTCGAAGCCCACCGAACTCCATCAAATCCACTCCGCATTTGGCCGCATCCTCCGAAGTTACCGCCTGTCCCGAATTTCTGATTTGATACTCTGCCTTCCGCCTCCAAAATGGTCGCCGACGCCGTCATCTACCATCCTTCCGTCGCACACTACCTCAAGTTCGTCGCCACGACTGTCGGTCGCGACAAGCTCCTCCGCACTCTCCAGTACTTCGCCCGTTTCTACGCCTGGTACTTGTTTCGCACCAATGGCTCCAAAACTGAGATCGCTCCTTGGGATGCCATCAAGAAGCAATTTGGCCTCACCCGCAAAATCATGCGCGTAGGCAAAAACGTCGAGCACTTCAAAGCTGCCGCCGTTGCTTCCGATGCCAAAACTATGGACCCTGTCCTCCGCTACGCCGCTGTCGGTCGCCAGCTTGGCTATGCCGGCTATCTGACCTTCGATGCCGCCACCGTTTTGGACGCGGCTGGGATTAGGAAATGGGAGGGTGCCAAGAAGCTTCAAAAGGAGGCCTATCGCTGCTGGGCCATTGGTCTGATCTGCAGTGTCATTGCTCAATCCTATACCCTTTACCGTCTTCAGCAGCGGGAGGCCAAGGTCGATAAGAAGGAAGGTGAAGGTGTTGTTGAGGCAAAGAGAATAGCCATGTGAGTACCCCCAAGATGAAACCCCTCAGAACCGTCTCTGGGACGTGAAAATTCGCGCCCTCTTCGCGTTGGCAAGCCGGCTCAAGCTAATCAAACTATAGTGAACGCGCTGGTAGCCGCCTCCAGCTCCTTTCTGACCTCTGCGACTTGACCGTCCCCACCTCCGCCTTGGCGTGGGCCAATTTTGACGATGGCATTGTTGGTCTCGCTGGCACCGTAAGCAGTTTGATTGGTGTATACACCCAGTGGAAGAAGACGGCGTAATCTTACTCTACGGTGAAGACGCGCATGCATGTTCCTGCGCTTGGAGCGTGTTTTGATGGGACGGCAAGAAGGCTTCGAAATTGTGTCATCTGAACATCCGATAATGGAGGGTATGTTGGGGCGTTCCGGTTTAAGCCAGCAAAGGTTGAGGGTTCAATTGCTACGGCAGGTACTTGTAGGCAGGGAATTTGGCTGTCAATTAATGCACATTGTCGATGCGAACGCCATGGTCCTCTTCGATGTTTACTGGGCACAGTACTAGGTCCAACTCATCATCGCATAAGCGAAGTGGAAGGGTGTGACGGGGTGCAGGCAAGGACTATTTTTTTTTTTTTGGGTCGGATATCCATGCGTGTAATCGTACAATATACATTTCCTTCTGGGTACTCCCACCTCGATTTTCCGCGACGCAACACTTCATTTTCTGTTGCCCCAAATCCTCGGATCCTACATGACTGGAAAGCTCGGAGACTTAGAACAACTTTTCAGGCCCACGAACAACCGCCATTCAAATCACATCGTTTCCTTCCTTATGGTCCAATGCGAACTAGAGGATGCGGTCTCTGTACTGTAACATGTTTTGGGCGCCTCCAGGATCTATTCAGAGTCAAGGACAGCCCCTTTGAGGCAAGTGTTTGAGCAGGAGATGAGTTACCAGTAACGGCCACCACGGTCATACTCGCGAGGGTACCCATCACGAGGGTACGCCCCATCTCGAGGAGGGAAGTCTCTCGGAGGACGGTCGTAGGGTCTACCATTGGCATAGGGATCGGGTGGCGGAGGATAGTCTCGACGGTAGGGGTCGTCATAGCGGCCTCGCGGTGGAGGGTAATCATCCATAGGGCGGCGAGGAGGGGATCGGTATCGAGCGCGATCATCATAGTACTCTCGACGAGGGCTGCGCTCACGATAGCCGTCACGATATCCATCTCTGCGCGGACTGTAACCTCGTGGAGGGCCGCGCCTATCGTAGTCGTCCATCGGAGGCGGGTAAGGGCGACGTCCGCCAGGAGAACGTGAGCGCGCGCCGCGGATGTCGCGAGGAGGCATATCGGGTTGGGTCTGATGAAGTGCGTCAGCTCTGTCAGACAGCGCATTTTCATTTACAGATTGGTAACCCACGTCGGCAACACAGGTGACACGATTTCCTTTGAATTCTCGGCCGTCAAGCTTCTCGACCGCAGTTCTCAGGTCGGCTGCGGTCTCAAATTCAACGAATCTGTAGAGTTCAGTTAGTACTTGCCAAGACCGCGGGAAAGGTGGCAATTGACTCACCCTCGACCATTGCCGTCGCGGCCGGTCTCAGAATAGACGACATCGAGACTCGATTGACGGGCAAAATCTTTGAGATCCTATATCCAGAGTCCATGTAAGTTGGTGTCCAGGAGCGGTGGCATGGGCCGAAGAGGGTTGGAAGTCCGGAGCTCAACGACCAGACAGCGTCCAGTCAGCGGTGGGAATAAAGCCATCGTCGAGGCGGCCATCCCAAGGGTTTCCTTCCTTGTTCTGATAGGGCCAAGCCGACATAGAACCAGTCCTGACACGGCAATGCGAGTTCCATCCGAGCCGCATGGTCCGCGCTGGTATGAGGACGGCAGGAGGGAAGGTATCTGTGTGCCAAAAACCGCAGAACGTGCCGGGAAGTCCATCTCGCGGTGAAAGGGTCGACCAACGCGCCTCGCGCCAGCAAAGGGGGAGAGGGGAAAAGTCCAGGTGTCCGGCTTGAGAGAATGGGGAGAGATTTCAACAGACCTGCCAACTGGTATCGGTGGGAAGTCCCGTGATCTGCATCCGATGGGGAGTACGGCGAGGCCTTGGAGGAGCGCGCTCGTTGTTAAAGCCGCCGCCATTACCGCCCTCCCGATGCCGGGTTCCACGGGCAAATTGCACTGTCAAGCGTTCGCCCATAAAATCGGATCCATCTTTTGATGCGATGCTATGGTTAGCGGACCGGACCGAAAGAAGCAGATTGCATTGTATCGACGCGCGAGAACATACGGAAAGCTGGGCAGACAAGGAATTAGCGATGAAGAAAGTGACGGGACTAGCATGCGTCGGCGTTGAAACACTTACCTGGGACTACATCACGGGCATCCATGGCATCTTTGTATTCAATGAAGCCGAAGCCGTTCATGAGTTTGATTTCAGTTATTTCGCCGGTGCCATGGGTGGCGAAGTGTGCTTCGACGTCTGCTTTGGTAGCTGGCGGAGCCAGAGGCGCATAGGTTAGCGATTTGCTACCACAGCGCGATGCACCGAGACGCATTTGGGCGAAGTTGAACTAACCAGTTCGCGGGAGATTCCCCAGGTACAACCTGGTAGACGATACTTCGGTCATTTTGATGGGAATGCCTTGTCGAGTCTGTCGCGTGTAGAAGAGCAGCCAAGCGAGATTCGCAGTAGCAGTTGCTACAGGCGTGTCAACGATACGGCCGAGTCCAATAAGCGGCAATGACGTGGAGAATTAACGACTTGTGATGTTCCAGGTCGACCTATGGGCAAAAAGGCGATTGAAGGACAGTAAGGAATAGCGCGGACGTATTCGTGCCAGTTTCTGAATGCCGACTAAACGGGGAAGACGGATGAGAGATGCAGGAGCGAGACGATGGGCTGGGCTGGGAGGGGAGAAGTTATGAAGGGTTCTAGTATCGACGTTACACCGGTCGGTCGAGCAGCGATTGGTCGGAAGAGGGAGTGTTGTCGGGCACCTCTGTGAGCAGAGTACCCAGTAGTGTGTGCGCCTTGGGGGAAAGGTGCCGGTGGTAGGTGTCAAGAGGAGATGAGGTGAGGTGAGGAACGGGGTAGGAGCTGTTGGAGGAGAAGGAAGTAAGCTAATGTAATGTAGGTACTTGACGGTTCCTGGTGCCCGCAGTGCCGCAGCTGGCTCACCTACGGTATCTCGTGCTGTAATCGAGTTCCCGGGTAGGTAAGGGCTTGAAGCACTAGGGGAAGAACGTCCAATCAAGTGTGGATTTGTAGCTAATTTATAGCTACCTAGATAGGTAGGTACCTTAGCTGCCTGACCTTGCGACCTGAGGTCCTGAGGTCCTTGCTGGGGATGCGAAGAGGAGGAGGAGGAGCAGGAGCAGGAGAGAGTAGACAACAAGGAAAGGAAGAGAGAAGGAAAAAAAAAAAAAAAAAAAAAAAAAAAAACAAAAAAAAAACACACACACACAAATTGGGATAGTGGAGCGACCGAAGAGCGTCAAGCATGCATGCCATGCTCGGGCTGAAGAGGGGAGGAGCTCCTGGAGTGCTGCAGTGGTCTGCACAACCGAGGAAAGGAGGAGGAGCAGGAGCTACAGCATGCAGGCTGCCCGGCTCTGGGGCTTCACAGCGGGGCCTTCTCGTAGACAGCCAATGACAAGCTGATATATCCTGGCACTCTCAAGCATGTCCTGGCCTATGAGGGACCTTCCCTACCTTACCTTCCATACAAGAGCTAGACTCCCCAGGTCGTTCGTCCACTGGTTCATCGTTCCACCTCACCAAGTAGGTACCTACCTGCCTTAAGTTCTCAAGGAGGGGTGGGGGGTATCCTAACAGTCGACAGTCAATTTCGCCCAAGCATCCAGTCAAACAAAAGAACTATTGTTGCAAATGGTATAACAAGTAACTCGTCAAAATAAGCTGACCAGCGGTACCTGTCGACTTGTCAAGCAACCGTCATCCTAAGGTCAGGATCGATCAAGAAGCCCGCTCAGACACCGGATACGAATTCAGGGAAGAGACCTAACAACGTCTCTCAACGATTGCTGTCGATGTTATGAGGAGACGGTTGCGGGCTGTGAAATCCTGCCAATTCGATAAGCCTTGCAAATTGCAAGGTACTTGTATTGACCATGTCTAGGCAGCAATGACGTTGGCCTTTCTGCTTCTTACCCAGAGCCCGCCGGATATGCATTCGAAGTACCCCCTGTGGTTTCACCGGTCCCCAAGTCTGGTCATCATCAACCTTCTTGATGCTGTTAATCTGACCTTTGAAGCACCTTACAAACCGGAGGTTCAAGGTGCTAAATCGCTTTGCAAAGGAATCGTCACCTCCACGATCGGACTTTCGAAAGAAGATGATACGACGGTCTCTCGGATCTCGGGTTGTCGTGTCGCATCGATGTGGGTAGCAGGTTGCTGGGTATTTTAGTCAGTACTACTCTCAAAGAGTCAAAAATGTCCATTTTCAGCTTCTCCTGAGTGACAAAAGCCTGACCAAGAATGTTTGCGATGCCCACCCGACTGTTTCAAGCATCTTTTGGGATCTTGGGGCCGTCGTTGAGCCAATTGCGAAACTCGCAAGCTTTTCCCTTGTCACCTAGTAGACCGGGATCTTTCACAGGGGATCGATCACCCCTTGTTCTGCCCTCGTTGCAGCCTCGTGGAGAAGCATACCTAATTGACTTTATTCTGACCGCCGTTCAGTCAATCCGTGGTTGACTGGCGTCGTTATGTATACATCGGGTTTTCTCACGGGCTTGGGATGTTGTGTTGCTACTATCATTACTCGCCCAGTCACAAAGCGTTCTTCTTACTGGTCTTCTCCCTTATCTTGATACTCGGCCGATCGCCACCCAGCATCGCACATTGCCATGCCCCTTGGTCCATCTCGCCCGCCTGCCATCAGCGAGTGGCCCTGTATCAAGTTGACCCTTGACACCCGCTTCTATGCAGCAAGATGCACCGCCCCCAATACCTGCCAGCTCATAAGTTTAGGGCGCCAAAAACGCCATTCTATATGCCCATTGCCCCCAATCAAGACGAGGCAAAGCGTACCTCCCTGTTCCGGTCCCCGAGAAGATAAAGAGAATGGCTCACGCGCCCACATCAGCCAAACAAAATCTCCACAAACTCGTCCATGAAAGTAAAAGCTAAGTGAGCGCTGACAAGTAGTTAGCCCATTGCAACCAAAAGCGGTCAGAACAGCTACTTACTTGAGTCTTGAATTATTAAAGGTTGCAAAAACACGTCGGCTGGCTGCTTGGGCATTGACTCTACCGACCACACTGCCTGCCAGGTCTGGTACAAGTGTTGCTAGCATCAGGCTGGCTTCTGTGCGTGTCTGCTTCTTTTCTGCTGCTGTCCTTGGCAGCTTATTCTTGTTCATTTGTCCACCGGGCCACATGCTGTCTTGGAGCAGGGCAATATACTTAAGAATCGCGTCCTCTTGAACCAGCACTTTGACGTTGTCACGTACTTTGCGTTCTATGGTACCCCCGAGTAGTTGCTGGAGAACCACAACGACTGCCCGACCGCGCAACCAGTTGTTGCCTCGATTGAGCTCGAATACCTCCAGGAAAATGTCGCAAATAGGCTTGATAAAAGACTCGAGCTCCTTGTTCTCGAAAGCATTCAACTCGGCCTCGGCCTCGGCCGCATTGACGCCATCTTCGTTGACTGGTAGGGGCATTGCGTTCAACTGGTTGGTCGCTGCTGCAATCAGGTTCTGGCCCGCTAGCGAAAGTTGATCCAGGACTGGAATATTGCCAAGGATATCCTCCACACCGTCCGTAACTGAGTCGTATAATCGCGTTATCATGTCTTTCTTGTCCTCGCGGTCCACTAGATCTTGACCCTGAGCAATCACGCTTTGAGACAAGAACGCTCGTAGATCACGGCTCCGGCAAACTTCCGGTAGCATCAAGAGTTCGCGAAGATACTGCTCCAACGCAGCCCGTCTTTTGCGCAGAAACTCGCTCTGAAACTTCATGACCATTCGTCGTCTGGGAAAATCGAGGTTGCGAACGGATGGATACCTCGACCGAAGCTTTTGGTGTAGTTCATGGAACTCGCTATATCGGCGAGTGATGATCCATGTCGCTGCCGGCATCTTCTCTCCAGCATCCCGCTGTACCTCGATTACATAGAGAGCGAACTCCCTGCCGTCATCTTCACGTCCCACCTGAATGGCTTTGATCTTGATCGTGGAGCGGCCGTAGAGGCTGTTGTCGCTTTCCTGTACTACGTACTGCTGTCTCTGCAACTCTTTACGCCGAATTTCGCGCTGCAGACTTGCTTTGGACTTCCTTAGAATACGTAATTCGGCTGTGTTGTTCGTGAGTTCGGCCTTCTTTGTAAGAGATTCGACGATGGCATCTTGCGCTACAAGGCGATCAATGTCGTTAGACAGCGCTGTGATAGCTTCCGCCAGGCCCAGGTCTCCGGGCGCGGCTTCGTGAACTTCGTCCTCCACATCCATCTGTTTACCTCCGCCATCGTCATCCTGCTCGTCAGAAAGATACTTGTCCTCATCTCCGAAGAGATCATCGTCAACGAAAACTCCTATTCGAGAAGCGGCGCTTACGAGGCCCAAAGATGACAAACTCGGTCTCTCGGCTTCCTTGGACGACTGTGCCGGCCTCGGCACGTCGAGTGATCCTCGATGGGAATCATTATCGCCAGAGAAGAGGCTTGAGCCTGCATCTTCAGCCCCGAATAATGACGCCCGGAATTCTTCGGCTGTTTGAGGTCGGTTATCTTCCATGATATTATTTAGAGCTTCTTCCATAGCTTGAACCACAGTGGTATCGGGAATAGGATTGCTGGCTTCCTGGTCCAGACTCTGCACCGAGTCCATCATGTTTTCGTGCTCAAAGTCTTCATCGTCAAACAACGGAGTTGGTGAATCGTCGTCTAGAGAGCGTCGCTGTGCCGTTGCCGGGTCAAGACCGCCGCCGTTAACGTTGGAGATCCTCAGATCCGACGCAGATCCGGCTCGCTTCGTCGTCGGACGTGTTAATCTCGGTGCAAGTCTTGCAACCGCATTCGGCTTGGACTGGTATGATTGGGAACTTCGGTGTATGGGCGGATGGGCCACCGACGAGGACGGCTCAACTGAAGGGACAGCAGTGACAGCTGCAGATGCTTCCTCGGCTGCCAGGCACTTGTAAAAGAGGTCAGACTTCTTGAAAGATTGAAAAAATTGTGCTTGCATCCTCTCCAAGACCGCTGTTTGCGCTCTCAAAATGGCTCGCCGGGCTTTGTAGTACTGCTCTGCAGTAGCCGACTTGCCGGCGCTCAGAAAAGCCCGAACTTCGTCCCGAGTGGACTGCGACACCTTCAATTCAGCCTTAGCCAAGTACGCGTGGTCGATTTGCGCCAGGTCTAGGCGATCAGAATCGGTCCACATGGACAGATTCAATGGGAGCTGCTCGTCGTCCTGACCTTCATCCTCCAACGGGTTGCGGAAGCCATCAACCACCAGCCAGAACTGAACGAGAGGCATCATGCGATGACGATCCATGAACTCCATGAAGTAAGACAACCCTGATGCATCTCGGAGCAGCTCCACCAAAGAGGCATGCTCAAGTTTTGACACCGCCTTGGTATTGCCTGCGGGGCGAGGAGGCAAGGCGGCTGCGTTGCGTCTGTCTCCTCCCGCCGCAAGCACTTGAACGCGCTGGTCCAACAGCCTCTTACCCATTTCCAGCCGGCGAAGATACACCTGGTCCTGGTTGTCTTCTAACGAATCTCGTTTTAGTTGACTAGCCACCTCGCTTCTCAGGCGCCTCGCCTCCGAAAGATTGTTTACTTTTCTTATGGCGCGGATGAACTTCTCAAACTTCCGTTCACTGTCGGTGGGCGAAAGTCGTGGTATGATTGCGGCTTTGCCCACCCTCGGGGTTGGCGAAGCATGCTGATCCAGCGCAGCCCTGAGCTTGCGGACGGTTGACCGGTCCTGCAACATAGATCGACCATAATTCTCCATAACTTGATTCCATGTATCGGGTTCGGCCAACATCTGAAGCACGGGAAACAGCACAGCGCATGCGACAATTTCTCGAATTATGGTGGAGACGGCGCGACTGGCGAGCATATTAGGCGGGAGGACCTTGGGCAAGATGCCAGAAACCATTTTTCGAAGATAATCTTGCTGGACGAGCTTGGTATCGGGAAACGACAACGATGCGGCAGGGTGCAATCTTCCATCCTTGTATTTGGAAGCAATTGCCAAGTCCAACTCCTCTGATTCCGTCACGGATCGGTTGAGCTTCCTCCCCCGAACCGAACGTTCGGCATCGTAAAAGTCGCGGAAGTGAGCCGTTAGCATTGGGACAACACGAGTGGTGACAATGTCCACCAGATCAAGCTCCAACAGCCTCTCTCTGATGTTGATAAGAGCATCGCGGATAGCTTTGTCCACTTGGTTTGCAAAAATGGGGTTTTTGCTGATGTTGGAGTACCACGAGGTGACAAAGTCCCGAACGATAAGACCGAGAAGATGGTCAAGAGCTTCGGATATTCGGGGCGAATCGGGGTCGAGGGAAACTTTCGAGTAGGAATGGCGTGTGTAAAGGTCGGCAACTTCGCGAGACCAGGCTTTCGGCGCAATGAAGGCGGGCCCCTGCGGACGAGGTGATCGATGACAGAAGCTTCGTCTAGAACCTCGGGACGTGAGGAAAATGGCTGCTAGAATCGAAGCGACGGTCAGAAGAGCTCCTCCCAAGAGGGCATATCCGATCCATCGCAACGTCGGCGCCCAACTGACGGCGTAGCCCCAGGCAATGAAGCATGTGATGGCGGCAAGGATCAGGTCTCTTCCTTGCAGGGCCATAGTCCAGATTGGTATTGAAAGGCAGCGTGTCGTCGCTACATCGTTCGATGTTGATATTTGCGGTGCTTCCGGAGCTGTGTTTGTTGACGAACGAGCCTGTTATCGATTAGGGAGTATGCGGACGTCCAAATCGACACGTGGATACGGTATCGAGGTACGGTGAGGCACTGCCTAGGTAAGGTTGAAGTACCTTTCAGGTTACCTCAACTGCGTGCATAGCTTGTCCCCTGACCAGCACATCGCTGCAAGATGCCTGCCGCCTTACGCAATAGAGCGCTAGGTAGCACTGTAATGGAATATGCATGTGGCCGAATGGGTCCGTGCCCAACGAAGCTTTGCGACCGGTAACATGAATATGTAATCCGCGAGAGTATTTTATAAAGAAATCACTCGTACAATGCGGATGAACCATCCGTATCAACCAGTTATGGAACCTAGTATGACGCTCCTCTTGGGTATCAATGAAAATGTTTGGCATTCAGGGCTGTGCCTGTTGCGCCCTGCCCCGAGTCCGTCGCCCATCCTCGTTTTAACGCCATTACCAATTACCAGGCCGGGTCTTCCTTTCTGCGGAAGAGGGCAACATGCTTCTGGCCTTGATTCCGCGCCACTTTCTTTCCCTCCTCCGTTTCGGACCTCATGACCTTGACGCACTCGTCCGCTTCCTGCTCTTCCTCGGGTATGCGCTCGAAAGATGGATGGGCGCCGAAGTGCTCTACCATCCACTGGTGCAGGGGCTCGACGTCTGTAATGGTGTACACTATGCCGCCAGGCCGCAACGCAAAAGCATACTCTGAGTTGAGCGTGGTCGAAACGATCCTGGCCTTGTGTTTCCGGGCTTTGAAGTGAGGGTCCGGAAAGCAAATGAAGATCTTGGAAAGTTGTGCCTTTTGGAAGAAATTGGGTAGGAACTTCATGCTGTTGGCCCGGAGGCAGCTGATATTCTGGTAGAGTCCAGTGTCCTCGTTCTGCGCGCGAAGCGCTCTGATCCGCTCTTGTACATACTCTGTGACCGAGGTCCGAATCTCGAGGCCTGCCCAAGTCAGTCAACCAACAACTAAAGGCGTGCGTTATTCACATACCAAGAGCCAGTGTGTCTGGCAAGAGGGGTGCCAGGGCCACAAGCAACCCTCCAAACCCACAGCCAATGTCAACAACCTCGACATCCTTCCGCATACGACTCGTTTGGTTCGTTGAAATGGCCTGAGTATCTGTGTCGAGGGATGTCGCTGCCACGGGTTTGGATACCAAGGGGTGGTCTTCTTGGACGGTGAATGCGGGGTAGTATTGAGTCCAGTCCATCTCATTCGGACCAGCTGGGCTGACATGCAACATGCAATTAGTATCATTGTCCATGGGCAGCGGACCGTTGTGCGACTCAACTAGACTAATTGATGATCTGAGAAGGGGTTCGCATGAGCTCTTTGCCGGTAGAACTTCTTTTTGGGCAACTCGAGCACGCCTTCTTGGCTGCGCGCATTGCGATAGTCTTCGCGTTTCTGGCTCTTTGGTTTGTGCGTCACTTTGCCCATTTCGTCGTTTTCGCTCCGCGGTTGGGGATTTGTCAGGTGCTTGTGGGAGAATGTTTCGATGTCGCAAGTCTCTTCGAATTTGGCTTGTACGATTCGCGAAGGACGTGGGGTTTGGGTTTTTTGAACCGGATGTCACAGGAAGGAAATAAGTATAGAGAGAGCGAAGAAAAAGAGGAGGGAAAAAGCGTCAGGCAGAAAATTGCGATGCAACTCGTGGTGCAGTGCTATGTCCATGGAGGGGGTTCGTAGGTAGGTAGTGGGGTATCGCAAACGGAAGGCGGTCACACACCCACCCCCTGAAGATGGTGTACCTACAACGGATGCGCGCTGAAGGCACTTACCAACCTGGGAAAAGAGGAACGCACTTATCCATGCCTCCCGTGTCGCAGTTGCTGCTGGTCGGTCAGTAAGGTGCCTAGGTAATAGAAGGTGCCTTAGCTACCTGGGCTACACTTCATCACGGAGGCGCCGGCTAACCCATGCTCACGCAAGCGCGTTCTCCTCTCCCTTGGGTCTGACGTGACATCTCATATTCCACCATCAACTTCCTTCCACCTCACGCGGCTCTCACCTCATTCTCTGGAGAAACATTGAACTTGCCAGGTCCGATGGTCAACTCATCAGCTGCTCAAATAATTGTCGTTCGCCCTGAAGTTTGTTATCCGCCGTACATGCGTTCCTACACACTCACTTCCCTCGTCTGCTTGCCTTCGTTCGTCACCCGCCGCACACGCATCTAGGTACCTATTACCACTTGCACCTACCAACCTAAGTCATATCACCGAAACCCCACCACTTTCTTTCGCCCCTGTTGCAAAAAGACGTTGGCTGCTTGATTTCCACCCGATGGGGATGGGATCTCGCTCGCAGCAAGCCTCGTGGTACGACACAATGATGACTTACTCGCTTCTGGCCCCGGATTACCCTTCTCTGGTCAGGTACATATCAGGCGCTTTCGTAAGTCTCACATTGAACATCCCCGTCGTGTCAAACCAACCAAGCAAACTCCAAACTGACGAGACGAGACGATAGATTGCGCTGGGCCTGTTTTTTGTGGTCCCCATTGTCCTGTTGATTGGATTTGACTTCGTTGTCTGGGTCTACCGAATCTGCTGGAGTCGCCCCTGGCAGGAGTCAAGAAATGGTCAACTCAGACCTCCCACAGCTGCTCGACATGCCCCAGAGACGGCCGATGGCCTGACAGATGTGAATCAGCGCATGAAGTCTGCATAGTACCAGAGGCTTGACGGGCAGGCGTCGTTATCATCGTTGTCGTCGTCCTGCAGTCGCGGGCTGACCAACACACAAGTAAATGGAGGAGGCCGTTCGGTTTTCGGAATGCATTAGGGCTCAATTGACAGCTTTTACAGGAGTTAGCGTTTACAAGAGCATAGTTACCATGTCGAGTACGACTGGATATACCTATGCACGGAGCAACGTTTATATCCATTCCCTGTTGACGTGAATTCATTGACTTCGCTTAGGCTTGTCCCCCTCCGTCCTGTATGGTATTGACCGTAGGTGGAAACTTACCCGAGTGTCTAACAACTAGGTACCTGTAGATGAGTGATTGCTGGTTGTCTTTACTTTAGATTGGTACCTTACCTACGTTACCTAGGTAGGTAGCAGTGGTAGGTGGTATGTAAGCCCAGCAAGAACCTCAAGGCACCTACACAGTGTATAGACCTAAGTTACCTAAGGTGCCTACCTTAGGCACCTAGCCTAGGCGACCTAGGTACCTTCGGTGCCTTCCAAGGCTGGGTGTGGGCCACTCCAAGCGCCACACCACGCTGAAGGTGCCCAGAGCAGAAGCGCCTGTGGACTCTACACGACAACCCCAGACATCTTTCAACACCCCCCCAAACAAACAGACTTATCGTCGCACTTCATCGTTTGTCCTCGACGGATGTGGGAACAGAGAATCGCACCCAATAGCTCCCGAGTACTTTCCGATTTGCAACTGCCTCAGATCTGACTTCCTGCCGGCGGCAAATCATCATGCCCCAAGACCCAAACCTCTATGGGCAACCACTGCCTAAAAAGCGCAAGAACAATATGGCTTTGAGCAGTTCCATGGATTTCACTGCCCAGCTGTCCTCTATCATATCTGGCCCATTCGACAACGCTCCTTCGGTGGCAAGACCTCGCCCGTCGCGGACCAAAGACAACATCTTCACTGGCGCAAAATCGAGGCGGCAGAACGACAGCCCCGGCAAGGCGGGCTCGTCCTCCAAGGCGGATTCCACGAAGCTGAAGCTGAGGGATCCTCTGGGTACCGACGAAGAATCCTCAGAGCTGGCCCGCACCCGGCGCAAGATGGAAGAGAAGGCGCGCCTGTACACCGCCATGAAACGCGGTGATTATGTGCCAAAGGAAAACGAAGCTGCGCCCCTGATCGACTTTGACCGAAAATGGGCAGAAGCCGAGGCAAGAGGGAGAAAGGACGACGATGAAGACGCTCTGAGTTCTGACTCCGATGACGACGACGACGACGACGACGACGATGGTGGTAGAGAGAACGCCAACCAGGGAATTGTCGAGTATGAGGACGAATTTGGGCGTTTGCGGCGGGGCACCAAAGTCGAGATAGAACGTCTGGAGCGACAACGCCGCCGGGGCCTTCTCGGTGCTGAAGAGCTCGAGCGCATGTCTGCTCGGCCTGCGGCACCCGCGAAACTTCTACATGGTGACGCTATTCAAACCATGGCATTCAACCCGGAAGACCCCGAGAAGATGGAGGAGTTGGCACGCAAACGTGACAGGAGCGCCACACCCCCCGACTTGAGGCACTACGATGCCGATAGCGAAATCCGAACCAAGGGAACGGGGTTCTACAAGTTCAGCAAGGATGAGGAGACGAGGTCTAAGGAATTTGAGAGTCTTGAAGCAGAGCGACAGAGGACAGAGACAGCGAGGAAAGATCGTGAGGAGAAAAAGGAGGCAAGACGGAAGGAAATAGAGCAACGGCGTAAAGACGTCGAGGCGAGGAGAGCCCAGAAACTCGCTGATAGCTTCCTGGACGATTTAGCAACCGATCTCAAAGGCTAGTTAGTAGATGATAGTGTAGAAGCGTGCTCAGGTGGGCTGCTCAGGAGGATTTGAATGTTTGAATTGCCAAATGACGGAACTCTCATTTGCCCAGCTTCTGTATTCTTTTCATCGAAAATTTGAACTAGTACTAACAATATTGTTGACCGTGCAAGACAAACCAAACCTGCGGCATCAAGTCTTTCAACAGTGCTAAGCCAGCCTGAGATGAAAATTTGCTCCGATATCTTCTTTTGCCTCGAAAGGGCTGTTGAGCCCTTGCGGGCCCTTTCCTAAGTATTCCGCCAAATACACATATATATACACAATCGCCAGCCTACTGCGCCGGATGAACGAAGCCCACAATGCTCGTCCAGGTAGATATCAAACGCCTTAAAACAACGCAAATGTAACAACAAGGCCTTTGGGCCAATAAAAGATGGTGTAGTACATTAAGCCGTGCAATAATAATGTTTTGTCATGGCACATCGTGACAAACGCTGGGTGTTATGTGAACCACCAAATGCAGCCACAATCACTCAGCTGGCTTGTCCTCGTCGGCCGATCCCGTGATATCAAAAGGCTGTCTTCGTGGATCCAACGTTTCGAGTCGGCGATAGCGACTGTCTGCCTGTTCTCCATGATCATCACCTCCACGGGCTGGCCTTCTTCGTTCAAAACGGGAACCGTATTCTCTCCGTCGTCACAAACCTCAACCTGTCGGCAGAAGGCATTCTTGGTCTCGTCGAGGGATACGCGACGCTCTTCGAACTTGATGACCTGTGGGTATGGCGGAGGCGGAGCTCGTCGTGGCTTGTCGGTGGGAACCGCGGTGGAGAAGGTGCTCGTCGCCAATCCGTGGCGCACCAAGAAAGGGGTTGAATTGGGTGGAATTGTGGCAGCTGCTAATGGCTTTGTCGTCGACGTTGGCTTCCGTTGATAGCTGTTATTTTGTGATGGATAGACGAAAACTTCGAGGAGAGTACCAGGCCAAGTGCAGATCCAGGGTCTATCACCGGCCTGTGCTCCCCTCACACCCTTCCTGCTAAAGTCTCCGGACCCAGGGGGAGGGCCATTCCACCGCCTTTTCGCACTTGGCCTAGCAGTGCTGACACCTGGAAATCTGTCCTCAGGTACGACGACGGTTTTGTTGTATGTCATTTGAGCAAACCAGGCGGCACCCCTACCAGGTTCAGAAGTGTCGTTGACCAGCCGCATCTTCAGCGGGTCGATGATGAGAGGCGGTTGAGTGCCCCAAGCGAACATATTGAGTTTTTCGTCGGTGTGGTCGCTGTCATTGAACGTAGTAAGTTTTAAGGTGTAATCAGATATGGGTAGTTCGTTGGCAATTCGAGAAACGCCCATGACGTAACTAGTAAAAGGGATGTTACAGGTCCAGGCCTGCGATTGTGTCGTATCGTTGAAACATGTGCTCGGCGCCTGACTAGCGATCAATGGGGGCAAGCCAAATGTACCGATCTCCATTGAAGGCAGGTCAGGTGGAAGAGTTGCCAATGGTTTTATGTCAACCGTGGCAGTTGGGATGACGAGGGGAACAGGCTCATCATCTTGATGACGGCCTGGTGGTTTCTTATGTTTGGCAAAGAAAGTGCCAATGACTGCACCTAGAATAATGCCCCTGCGAAACAAAGTTAGTCGATAGGTTCACATGAAAGCCGAATCCCACTTACATCAGCACCAACCCAACTGCCAACAAGCAGATCGCCCAGTAGGGGATGACGCCAAACATTCGTTTCTTGGCCCTCTTCTGCCACTTGCGATCGGTGGCCTTCTCGGCGTAAGCCTCTGCAGCAGTGTTGATTTCGTGTTGGCTTGCAGTGTCTGAAGTCAAAGTCCTTGATGACATGCGCGACGGCAAACGAAGGTCTTCCCGAGACTCAAACTCGGGGTTTCTTGTTGCGAGTCCGAGACCACCAGCGCCGGGAATCACTGCAGGGGGGACAGAGGCTGCCATGACCGTTACCGTGTTTTGTGGTTGTGATTGTGATTGCGGTTGCGTTTGTGGTTGCTGGCCCGATGATTGTGGCGAGAGCTGCTGGTGAGGTTGATCTTGGTGCTGTTGATGATTTTGCGACTGAGCCTGGGGCAGATCGCCGGGCTGTTTTCTCGCGTACGCCTGCTCTGGGTACCTGGTGTATGGAGGGAGCTCTTCGGTATGCCCCAAGGGACCGATCAAGTCGGCAATTTCCTCCCCTTCGGGTCCCATACGTCGCTGATAGTTATCAGAGCGTCCGAACCCAACGGGAATGCTGTCACCTTCACCGGAGTCCACCGGCACCGTGTTCTGTGTGTAGAGAGTGTACGGATGGGTCGGGCCACGGGGGCCAGCGTACGACCGTTCTGACATACGGGCGGTGGATGACGTCGCCACACTGTTTGTTCGCTGGGGGTACATCTGATACGGGTGCGAGGGGCCAGAGGGGCCGTCGTAGGGACTCTCGGAGCGCATTATGGGCGAATCGGTGGAAGCGCTGGATACGCGTGAAAGTGCGGTGCCGGTCATTTGGCCGGTGGAACCATCATGACGAAGGGCGAGAGGGTCGTGAGAGCGTGGAGGTTTCGCGATACTCGAGGGTCGGGCAGAAGGTAGGGCTCGATGGGTAGCGGCATAGTCTCGTGACACAACCGCCGAGCCAGTCGAAGGGTTTGTGATCGAGGGAATGGGTGGATGGGACGCAGAAAGATCGGCTGGGCGAAAACCGTCAGATAAGCCCATGGCGGCAGCCAGGTCGTACTCGTCGTCGTCGCCGTCGACGGTGGTTGATTGCCTCGCCGACATTCTAAGGGAAGCCCTCCTCTCGTTGCCCGCTTTGTCATGAAAAGGATCCATTGTGATGTTGTGCGATGGTCAGGATTCAAATCGACGACGAGCTGCGGCGGTTAAGACGTGGTTGCACCAATTTCACAACATGGGCGTCGGCCGCTGACCCCAGAGGCCCAAGTCCAAACCCAACCTCAACCCGTGATTCCTCGATGATACCGCTCCGAACCAGTCGTCGCTGAGAAGAGGTGGACAGTTCGAGGATTGAAGCGTCGGGGTGTGGACGACTTAGATTGAAGAAAAAGGTCGTGGGTGGATGTGCAATACGAGAAGGGAAGTAGTATGGTCTTGGGAGGAGGAAGGAAGGATAGTCAGACAGACCGGGCAGTAGTGCAGGACAGGACAGGACAGGACACAGTCGGAGAGAGAGGCGAAGGCAAAGGGCAGGGCGATGGGGGGGGGAGAGAGAGAGGAAGCGCGGGTGCGGGAGGGCACTACTAGACAAGGTTGGACGATTCAGGAACAGTTTGGGTTTGGGGTCCGACACGAAGCGTCCAGGCGCATGATTGGTGGGCTCAGGGGAGGGGCCCTTTTTTCTGTGTACCGGGCGGCGGAGGCAGGATACCCAGGGGCCGTATTCAGAAGTACTATGGTAAGAACAGCGACGAGGAGCGAGTCCGCTGGAGACTTTTCTGCTAGAAACGACCAGGGGTGTGAGAGAGACGGCGAGAGAACCAAGGAGCGCGGTGCGTGAGGGATGGGAGGGGGGGGGGTGATCCATGGATGGATGCACTTGGGAGCCGTGCCGTCTCTGGGTGCATTTGTGCAAGGAGCCCTGGACGAGGCCGAGGACTGGGGGGGACGACTAGGAAGGTATCCGTAGCCTGAGTAGAAAAAAGTCTAGACACACGGAGAGAACGGGGAAAAGATACACGAGTGATGCGCCGTCAGCAGCGGGCGAAGCAAGTACCTATTGCCGAGCGATACCTGTCCCAGCTAGGTAGGTAGGAGGTACTATGGTGGTATGGATAGAACACTCGGCACCTACTACGTACAGAAGCACCAGGCAGGTAGTCAATGTTTCCCTGGCTCGCGTCGGGTGCAAGACCAAGACCAATGGAAGACCAAGAACAGCGGCAGACCGACTGACTCTGGAAGGCGATGCCCGTGCCTCGTCGGTGAAGTGATGGTCATCAAGACAAAGAATCTCAAAATAACGACAGCTTGCCTGCGGAACGCGCTACAGAAGACGATGCAGCGGGAGCCAGAAAGCCCCGCCGATGCTCCCTGGAAGTGCAGGCGCGGGCAACAGTGCAGGTGCAGGTGCAGGTGCAGGTGCAGGTGCAGGTGCAGATGCAGGTCGTGGTGCAGGTGTTCGTTCGTGTGAGAGAACGGTGGGGATATTGCAGCATTGGCGTCTGGAGTCCACAAACGCTAAAATAAGTGAGCCCACTTGGACGGAGAGGACGGGCGAGAAACAAGAAGGTAGGAACTCTCTCTTTTTTCTTGTTCTGCTTCTCCGTACCTCACACTACACTACCTTACCTTAAGGTACCTTGAGGTAGGTACGGATACCTACTGTGCGCAGTGCTGCGTACATAGTGACGGTATCTGTAGTTCATGGAGCTGATTGCCCGCGTGGATGCCATATGAGGTGCCTCCTCTCTACGAATGGTCGCCCAAGTCAAGTACACCATCCAGATGAATCCAGATCAACATGTTGTGACATCTAGAAGAGCATTAATCAGACGGGAGATCCCCGTGTCGGCGTGAGTCGATCTACACACACAAGACATGCTATGATTGCTGAGCCTATTAATCTCCGATCTTGGGCGACTCTTGTTTCGTTGCGCTGAGAAACAGCCACAGCCACAGCCCGACCAGTGCTGACAAAGGAAGGCTCCGAGGTAGCTCATGACACCCGACTCGGTGGAGGAGAGAAGGCTGCAGGGAGGGATGAAGAAGACTTGCTCGGAATGACGCTGTCACAACGGAAGGTTTCAGACGTTTGGCAAGCAGTGGGGGCTGCTTCAAGTGCTGCGTGTGTTGTGTGTCTGGCCAAAGACGACAATGTCCAAACAGAAACGCGAATGGGAGCAGGGACGACCGCAGATCTCGGTTTTGAATGCTGGGGCAGACCATGGCGCTAGAGCCCGTACTGGCATAGTGTCGCTTCCTTCGGCACGAGCACTGTGACAGAGCCCAGGTAGGCCCCTGTGCGCTGCTCACTGCGCACTGCGTACATACCTGAGGTAGTAGTCGGCCAAGACCGCATCTCAGGCAAATCCTACGACTCTCCAAGAGATGGACCGAAACTCAGAAGCTGGTGGGGCCCGGAGACAGATGGTCCAGAAAAGCAGGTAGAGTAGTGACGGGCTGTGGACCGGGACTGCTCACTGCTTGAGAAAGTGGAAGCAGATCCGCCGAACGGCGACTCAACCTAAGGCAGCCCGGTTGCTAACACAATGCCCGCGATAAAAGATCCGCCGTCACGTACCTGGGCTACTCTAAGGTTACTTACTGTCCCTCACTGGCTCGCTAGGAAATGAACCCTGCTTCTCAAATCCCATCGCCAACGAAGCTTTCCACGTTGCGGACATCCAACTAAGTAAGGTATGTACATAAGGTCTGCTTAATTACCAGCAAGTAGGATTCAACCAGTCGGGTCCTCGGACGAGTTGGACTCCAGTGTATCCGTACCTACTCCAGTCGGTGGGATCCACCAAACATCATTGGGTATCCCATACTTAGCCGTCGTTATACTAACAAAGTCCATGTCTACCTGCATGCAAATGCTATGCGTGTACTGTTGAGATTCAGTAACCACACAGACACCTATCGCGGCAAGAATCCCATCTCATCACAATTGTGCCCCGTTACCGTCGCCAGCAGCACTACCATGTAATAGTACATCTATTTCACTTCTAACTCTTCACCTTCAGGCACGGTGTGGCGCATCTCATGCTTTAATTCGTCTCAAGCCTCCCCATTCATCACCCATCTAACTGAATGCGCGATGCCAAACGTTCGTGTTACCCCGTCTCACGTCTTGCATGCATCCGCCTGCTTGCTAGCAGGCTGTCCAGACAGGTGAGTGACCTGGTGCTATTTTGCTCAAATCTGACCATGGCACCTCGGAGATCAACATCGCCGTGGTCTCATTCGCCCGGAAGCCAACATCGGTAAACTTGCGGTGGCTTTGCTGGGGCGGAAGTCCGAACCAAGGCTCGTCAGCGCATGTTGCTTATAGTCTTTTTCGTATGGCTGTCGGAGCTCGTACGCAGCTGTCTAGGTGCACTTTCCCCGGCAGGATGTGTGCTGCGACTGGCTGCCGTCGACGCTGGCGCAGCCCTGTTTTCGTCTAGTGATCCCCCCATTTCGACCAACCTACAGCTGCACGTCTAGATGCATCGCGTCTGGCTCACCGAACGCCAGTGACGAATGGTTTTGGCCGGCTACCGCTCATGCGCTCGCAGCCTCATGTTCACTCCGAATGCTCTGCTCTGTAGTCTACCGGTAGTTGAGTCTGGAGATTGGAGGCTGGAAAGTCGCAACAGCCGCAGGCTGCGATTCCGCTGCCCATATACCTTCGATACGCATTGTATACTAACTTATGTCCGTTTCCCCTGATTTTCCGAGGGCGTACAAAGCAACACAATGGCAGTAGGTGTAATGTTATATTGTCCTGGCCCCTCTAATATATGTATATATCCGTGCGACGCCTTCAGCCTCGATCCGTACTTGGACAACTAACTAGGGGTCAACACTCGTGCGACTTGGGCGTGGGTAGCCGCTTCATGAGACCTTGATCGGTGTTGCCCAGATATCCTGCCATTTCACATGGTAGGTAACTCGTGTGCACTTTAAGTTGTCTCAAAAGCTTCTGTCGAAACAGCTTTACTGGTCAAACATGTGCAGGGCTGCCGTGGAAGTAGGGCGAAATGGCTGCCTTTTCACGGGAGGGTGTTGTACCCCGCATGGGACACACACAGCAGCGTAGTCCCTCGAGTCTCGGGTATATCACTGGTTCGATCTCGAATACATCTCTCGTCGCCGTGATATGACGAGGTACAAATCACCTCGAGTCCCCTTGCTTTTGCACTTGCATCACGCACTTTAACACGTATGGGCCGTTGACCCCCTCGGAGCCATGCACCAAGATGAGGCGAGCAGCATCGACCAGCAGTGGATTTGCTCACGGCCACGCTCGTCCCCTCTATCTGCAGCAAGAATGCAACGAGTATTTGAGAGGGCTCTTCCCGGGGTTCCGCTGCTTGTTGCTTGCTTCGTCTCTTGCTCGGTGTTCAGCAAACTCAGCCCGTCTTAGTAAGGGTTTTGCCCATACGGTGCCTCCGGTGCCTTGTCTTCTCGCGTCACTACCTGCCGGCGCACCTTCGTCCCATCCCTCCCTTGCAGAGGTTTCTCTCTGCTGCTCTTACTCCCGCTCCCGCTCTCGCTTCTACGTGTGATCCTGCTCCTCCTCTTGCTCTTGGTCTTGCCCCCAAAAGTAAAAGTTGGTGCTGGGACGAAAATTCCCAAAGCTCGGCATATCCTGTGCAGGCAGCCATGCCCCACTCATCGGCTTCGAGCTCGTCGGGAAGCTCTCGGCCATCCTCGAGATCATCCTCGGCCTCATCCTTGCGCTCGGGGAGTTCCAAAAAGTCGAGATCTTCCCAGGTCTCTCACTCCAACATTAAGAGTGATCACTGGGCCGTATCCTTCATGAAATGGACCACCGGCGCTCCGCTCGGGAAGCCTCTATCGCTGCGAAGAACCAAGGTCCACGAGATTGACGAGACTTGGGGCTTGTACCAGGACGATGCTTCAATCTACAGCGATAGCTCTTACACCCATTACGCGTGGGTCACCCCAAGATTCGACGACAGCATTTCCGAAATAGCGTCCAGGACAAGTAGTCGCTCGTCTGGCCGTCTTCGGAGGGAGCACCGGTCCAGAGCCCCGCCTCGCTTCGGACCGTCTCCCGCCATGCACCAGCCACCTCTTTTCCCGCAACACCCACATCCACCGGGGCCGCCGCCTCCACCCTTCATGCCGCCTCAGCACACATT